TAATTTTATCGAATGAAAAAATATAGATATATTTTAATCATCGATCGAAATTTTCAATATTGTTTATGAAATATGTAATAATTCATACACTGATTGGTTTAATTCTGGTTTCATAAATATTTTCAAGCTGCATCAATAACTGGTGCATTTAAATTGCGAAATTGAGCAGAAAATAGAGAACAGTAAAACTAGGAAGGTCATAATATTGCCTGAAAGTGCAATGTCACATATTACGAAAACAAAGGAAATAATGTGTCTTTCATTCAAAGTATTATATTCCAAGCGTTATATTGTCAAATATATATATATTTGATAGATTTAGCTTCTTTGTATTATAATGCACTAAATTAACTTTAATATTGATTGCTTAATTTTTGACCGATAGCATTAACATCGGGTCAAGGATCAATCATCAATCATTTCGTAGTTTATAAATTGGTATATATTTATTAAAAGTGATGGACTATAATTTAATATGTATTTTATTAAAACAATAGTACCCACATAATATTAGCTTATGAATTAATAAACATAATTTCTTAAAAGGACGTTTTTCCTAATGTATAACCACGTACGTAAATAAATAATAAGTAATGGATAAAAAGTATTGTCTATTGTATACTTTCTCTTTATATAAAGCAAACAAAAAAAAAACTAATCATATTTAATAGATAATTTCTATCGAAAAACAAAGAAGATATTTAAATTGTTTCATTTATTTCATACCAAGAACTTGTAGTTCAAAATGAATTAAATAAGTTTGAATCTCTTATTCAAAGACATATAGGTCGTTCTCACAATGTTAATTTTATAAAATAAAATATATTTTATATTCGAATAATTGTTAAAAATAAAAATTATTACATGCATTTACTAGAAAATATAATTTTATTATATAAAATGAATTTTTTAATTTTTTTAAATAAACGTCAGTCTCGGAAACCATTATTTATAAGATCATCATTAAAAATGAATTTGTTATTGCCTCGATAGAAAGTGCCATATTTCATAAATCAGATGTCATGCAAAAGGCGGCAATTCTATACATAGATATTATTTTGTAGTTGGTAGTGACCTTATAGCAAACGATCATTTATACATTGGTATGCATTTAATGTATTACGTACATTTACAAATTAGAAGTAACCACATAATATATATCCGCTCGCAAAAGGGGCTTAGTAAATTTGGCAAATATTTAGTTTTCTTGACATTCGTCATGAATGCAAAGAATGTTTTTCAGGCATTGCGACAATCTATAGTTATAGTAATATATTAAAAAAAGGAATCGTAATGTTCTTCAGTATTAAATGGATTAAAATAGTAAATAAAACATAAAAATATAATAAAATCAATAATGCATGCAATAAGTGGGTAATAAAACTATAATAAGTGATCTTGACAGTTGTTTATTATTATTATTCATTTTTGACAAATCAACAATTTAGAGATATCAAGTACATAATAATTTTTTTCTTTCTTGAAACGGTTTAGAAACATATGAGTTAAATTTTATTTTAATTTCATCCTTTGATATAGCACAATTAATGCGAGTCTCTGTAAATTCATATATATATGCCATAAAATAATTTAAATTTCATTATTACATATCATAAAAACAAAAATAAAAAAAAAATTTAGTTACGTTTTGAAAGTATTTGAAATTTTTACATATACTGAAATTGATATTTATTTTGAATTTTCTTAAACATTTAATTCAACTATACACAAACAACATCATTGATTTATCTAATCTATATTTTTATATTAAAAAAAAATTACAATTATCAAAAATAATGTTTAATGAAAAAATGTATATTAATTACTATATAAATATTTATAAAATGAAAATTCCATTATACATAACGAGATACAAAATTCCGTGTTAAATAATTATTAACGTTAATTTATTTACCAAATAATTCATTATATTATAATTATTTAGTGACATTGTATTGGATGTCCTGGAAATGTAATAATAGTACTTTTTGCATACCATACTAGAGGTGATTAGAGCGGGGTTATACAAATGTATGTAAACAATGTACAATAATTACAGGTATAACTGCTGTGAAAACTATACAGGTTTGAAAACTAAAATGATAATTAACTTAAAGAAAATTGTAAATTTGTTTAAGCTTTCCAAATTATTCTAAATTATTTCTATATTGTTCGTTAGAATGTTTTTAATGTAATTTAATTTGTTAAAAAATATTCCATACGATTTTATTCTATATTATAATTAATTTATTTCTGAGTTTGAAGGAAAATTTGAATCCTGACTTTGAGGGATAAATCGATAGACTAAATTTATCATTGAATATTTAAAATTGAATGTTTAAACTAACAATAATATAGGAATATTTCTCATATTTTAAATATTTTTTATTATCATATCACTACTTGTGTTTCGGTGTAAAAAATATAGTGAACCGCTAATGATAGAGTTTTTCTTTGTGATTGGGCACGAATAAATCGCAGCTTTTAATTGACTATTATTAACAATAATAAAGCCAATGAGACTTTTAAAAATTATCATTCAACTATTACTTAAATCAATTTTATCTGACATTAAGATTTTTTATAAATGTGTCGTACACTTCGTGTACCTGTAGCTATTTCACGATTGAAAAATATATTAAATTAAAAATAATCAGTAAGGTTTTCATTAAAGAAAATTTTTAATATCATTTACAGACATCTTATATTCAATCATAATTTCCGTATATTTTTAGTTATTTGGTGTACATCTATCTTTGAAATAAAGTTCGGGGAAACTTGTTTTGCTCAAAAGAGCATAAATGAATACAAAACGAAATTTAGAAACGAAAGCAAAATTCTGTCTTGCATATTAATGAAATTGTAGTCTTTTTTATGCAGAACAGTAGCTCATTATTCCCACGTTTCTGGAGTCGACCCACTTGTCGAGGAAACCAAAAATACTTCCAAGTTCATGGAAAGTACAAATTAATCAGATACTGGAAACGGCAGAGGAGAATCAGAAAGAAATAATGAGGGGGCAAAAAGGAGAAAGTATGAAATATTTTATTCCCCACGCCACTATTATTACTGGCTTCTTTGGCCGGTTCAATCGACTATCTTATTGTTTTCCAACACGTTTACGTTTAATGAATAAGCCGCGTGGGATAACAAAATGTACCACTCCTTAGCAAGATAATACAATACACGAAAATGAAAAAATAAAATATTTAAAAGCGCTTTACGTATTGTTGTGGCCGCCGGGGGGGGGGGTGGTTTAATTTGCTTACACATTGCAGATTCGGAAGATGGAGAACTTTCCTTTCTTTAATTTTAACATGCATCGTTACAGAATCACCGACCATATCATGTTAATTGTATGCATATTTATCTTGAAATAGGACATTAAAATGCTTCGTGATAAACAGGGTAAAATTTAAACAATCTTTGCACGAACAAATATATGTTTGCAATGTTCATATATATATATATATATATATATGTATAAAATTGTAAAGGAGCATTAATATTGAATAATATTTTAGTTCTGCTATACTTCATTTTGTATATTAATACAGTATTAAGTATATGAATGGAACTTATACTTTATTCAATTACATATTCAGACTTTTAAAATCGAATATATTCCTTGAATTTTATATCTTAAAATGTTTATTAAATTATTTTGCACATATTATCCAATAATATCGATGAAAATATTCATGAAAATATTCATTACATTTATTTGTTTCAAAATACTTCTATAAAATATTTGCATTAAAAATTTTATACTTACAAAAAAATATTCATGTAAAATATGTTTATAAACAGGGTCCGAATAAATATTTTTATATTTTTAGAATTTCCGGTTTCAAGAAAAAATTTTTTTTTAATTTTTGTAACGCCCATTTAAATCATACTAATTTTGGATGGAATCATTTTTTCTTAAAACAAAAGCATTTAATTTAATGGATTTTTACACACTGAGGTTTCACCGAGAACGTTTAAAAACTAATTATGATTCTGATCGCTATAATATATACAAATTTATATCTGCGTTTATGTACATGCACTTGGCCATACAATCTGTAAATACAGTAATGTGTAATTTAGTTTAGCGAATGCGTGTTATTATGTAATTCAACCGACGTTAAATTGGTAGAAAGTGATATTTCCGAAGAAGCGTAAAAGAAAAAATAGATTGTAAGCTCAATATATATTATCGAGAAGATTCCTCACAAATATTGCTTTTTTTTATTGTGCGACCAGCGGCCTGAGAATTCTGAGTCACGTTTATGCTCATTTAAGGTAAATTGGATGGCAATGTACATAAATGGTGCTTCCAGACAATCGACTTTGTTAATTTGATGTTTTATACACGCAAGAATGCCAACGCTTTAAAAGCTAGGCGTAAGTACGCCTGAATTCGTGCGAAAAACGTCTCTTGGCGTATTCATCCAGCTGTCGCTCTGCCCGCGCACGTCGTCTCGAGGCAGAGGCTCACGGACCGCTGGGTGAGAAATAAATGGCACTCGGTAGTGGCCTAACCCCGAGCAAATCGCGTATACGTTCGTCATTTACCTCCTCTGCCACGGCCTTCCCCACCGCTCCCGCGTATCAAGTGACGGGGGGGCCACGGTGGTCGCCCCTCCGCCCCCGATCGCGACTCAGCAGGAGAAGAGAGGAATGCCTCCTACCTGTTCTCCTCTCGCGTCGCGGCGATTTCTTGCTTAGTTAGTGCCCGGTCGCAATTTTTGCGTCGCGCTGCATCGTTCCCTCGCTGTCCGATTACTTTTTCTTTTCTCGCGCTCTCTTCGTAATCGAGATATTGTGAATCGTGATGTGCAGTTACGACTTGATCGGTCGTGATGGTGACAGTTCCGGTCTCAGTTTCCATAGTTAACTCCGTGAGTTTTAGTCATGTGCGTGTCGCTCGAGTTGATAAGGATGTTTCTATTGCAGTAGGCCTGCTTGCGACGGCTGCTTACTAGTGTATGGCATTGCTATGCATACGAGTGATTTCGCTTGTGACTTATGTGAGTTGTCAATCACCGATGGCTTTATCTTGAGCGCTGACGCGAGATGATGGCTAAATTTTAATGTGTATTATTGATTGGAATGTCTTTCGCCATCTATTTCTTTCCTGAAATTCATAAAATGGTCTTTTCCTTTTTTGGACGCACGCTGATTGAGGTGTCGCTAACGCTAATCTCGAATTTATTTTTCACGTCCGAATCGCTGTGGGATATTGGCCCCCTTGAATTCGATACTGAAATTTCCGTGCAATCGGTGTGGTATATAAGAAAAGCAACATTTCTCTCGCTCATTATAGCAATGACACGACGAGAAAGCGCAATTTAACGAATAATGCATTCTTGAAAGTAAAAATAAAAGTCTCGTTTATTTACAACTTTATTGTTTGTACGCCGTAAATTAAGTCACACTTATCATCAAGTCTTACAGTCTTTTATTTTGTAATCCGCACGATCAATAAATGTCGATAAATACGTAGCAATACAATTAATATCTTGGATAGAAGTATTTTTAAAACAACCGATCTAGTCCACTACTAATTTACATCTTAACACATTTACCGATGCAATTGTGAGATTCAAGCCAAATTTCTGATCTCTGCACAAGACCATCATCAATATTTGATCGGGAATGACAATGTGCATGGTAATTCTCAATATTCTCTTTTGGAAAGATCGAAGCCAAGCGTGACGCCATTCCAATTCAGTGTGATACGCGTAATAACGCGGGGATAAATGCAACGCAAACTGACGGACGTACGCGACTCTCCTGGCAAAAACGTATGCCTTATCAGGCGAAAGTTGCCTGCGTGGCTTCTCCCGTTCGATTGCTCTTACCTTCCTCCTCCAAGTCACGTTATATTACCGCGTTGGGAATAAAATCGCCGAGGATTGAGTCGCTTTGCCGCGCACGTATATTGTAGGTGTATGCGCATCGTGTAGCCACGCGCGTGCAGTATGATACAGCAAGTTTCGGTAATGTCGAGACTGGACAATGCCGGTTTTACTTTTATTATTTCTAATTTGCATTATTATCTTGGCTGGGAATGTGCTACTTAGCCTATTATCGTTTAATTATTGTTCGGATCGCTTTTACAATTGATTCTCTTTTTATTTGGAACATTTTTACCGACAGTAGCAGTAGTTTTGTTGCAAATTCGTAATATCCGGCGAACATGATAAAGTAACGTAAATATATGCGTCTGCGTGTCGTAAGTAGAAAGAGACAAGCGTAGTACGGCTAAAAATGTACAGAGCATTAAAGTGATTCAATATTTGTGTCCTCGTGTAATTAAATTTACTGCTGATGTTTAATAATTCATTGTCTTCATAAAAATATATATAGTCACGTTATGTTTTGTCGAATAGTATGTAACATGTGCTAATAAAATAATATTTGCAAATCCGGTAAATATTTTGCTGACCTTATGCGAATCGGGGAAAAAAAAGCAAATTTAATAATTAATTGTATAATTTAATATGTAATGCTGACATTTTTTTTATAATCCGACTTTAGTTACTATCAAATGAAACTCATAATATTCTCTTTATAAGAAATAATGAATTTTAGAAGAATTCAGTTACGAGCATAGCGATTTGCATTTAAAATTTTGACTTTGCTTTTAAACATTTATTGAATCGATAGACAAGTAGTCTTTTTTTTTCATTTTTGTTTTTTCGCTTAATCTATAATTCTAGGATCACAAGATATTTCAACAAAACGTATATATATTGTGTAATACGAAGTGTAATAAAACTTATGTACATGCATGATCGATTAGCAATATTACTATGTAAATTATTTCCAAAGTATAATATAATATAAAAAATAGAAGTACAAAATTATTAATTCGTTGCCTCATTTTAATAACGATTATTTAAAAAGTTTAGATTTATCAATTTATCTTATTAGTCTGTCCGGCAATCTACATATCATATATAATTAATTTATATAAAAAAATAATAACAATTACGAATGGTTTAAAACTACTGGCTCGTAAATAAAAAGATAAAAATGAACGAGGAAAAATAAAAAGAAGTGAATGAAGCTATTAATAGATGTTGAGTTTATTGAAATAACAACTATTTTATACAAATGCGCAAGTATTTTTGTAATCACTACAAGGTAAATTAATAAGTGTTCGGTCAGCTACAATACTATAGTGGACGATTCGGTTGAGAAAGAGAGATAGCAACAGAACCATCTGCTATTTAATGTATATATTATTCATATAGGGGAAACGTTAAATGCTATGTTTCATAATTTGTGTTTCATGACGGAAGTAAATGTTTTATTCCATTTCCACTCGATTAATTTTTATATCCATTGTCTAATTTTCTGTTTACCTTTTCTCGTGTTTTCTAAGCTTTTTATAATTTACCGGTATAAGAATATTTTGCAATATTTATTATAATTAATTATTTTAATTTATATGTATCGATAGATACTTTGATAATTATTTATTGTCTATTATTGAAATATCTTCCTTTTTAAATATTTTTCTTTGTGATCAAAATTGTATTGGATTTAGTATTTCATAGATTCCCGCATGCAGAAACCGTCAATAATCGTCGTTCAACCTGCGCCTAGTAGCTACCTTTACACTGCATTGCGTAATGGTAAAGATCGAAAGAGAGGAAATAGATAGATATATAGATAGATAGATAGATAGATAGAGATAGATATATAGATAGATAGATAGATAGATAGAGATAGATATATAGATAGATAGATAGATAGACGGATAGATACATACATGAAGATAGGGGGAGAGAGAGGGAGAAAGATGCATAGATAAACACAGAGAGAGAGAGAGAGAGAGAGAGAGAGAGAGAGAGAGAGCGATAACGCGAGTGCAAGAGGGGCGCAGAGATGAAAGACAGATTGTCATTTACGACTATAACGATTTAGCACACACCACGCACAAGCCATTGGTTCTATCCATTATATTCTGCTTTAGACTACGAAAGTTATTGCTTTAATTTCTCTATTGTATAATTTAACTTGTATAATTATTGTGTAGGTACGTACGAAGCCCTTACAGTATGTTACTCTTTAAGTATACGAATTGTGAAATGAAATTGAAAATCAGACTCGTGAAAGTTCGCTATCTCAACAACTATAAACAAAATGTACAATAAAAGTTTGCTTTATAGAAAAGATTGGATCACGTTTTATTAATCAATATATAATGCCTCGTTTAATTTTAATAACATAGTAATTCATAATTTGGAAAAAAAAATATCATATGAGGTAAATCAAAATTTTTCTAAAATTATTTATGATGAAATACTGAATATGCATTACTAAACTAGAATAAATTAGTATATACAAAAAGAGTAATTGTTATTTCTTTTTCATCATTGAATAATAAAATATAATCAAGTAATTTGGTTTGAATTAAACATCTCGTGTATAGTTAAATAAATAGAAAAGTATCATATTGCTTGCATACAACAAATGTTCCACGAATTATCAATATTGAAATTATTACTATTAAAATAATTATAAAATATTTAATACTTTTTAAGTATTTTGCAATTTCTTCTTTATATTCTATACATTCACATCGCAAGAATAAATATAATTTAAAATATAATAAATAAATATACTGGATAAAACTTGCATGTATGATAATAATGTTTTAATAAAGCTATAAATTTCATAAATAATCGTATAAAAATGAATTACTATAATTACTATAAATTCCAAATGTAATTTCCAAATATAATGTAATAATAGTACCTGTAATGTCCTTTAATTCGTAGCTATTTATAATATTTTAATATTATTTTACATTTATAGAGTAATTGAATTTCTTTTCAATTATTGAGAAAAATTCTAACCTCTAAAGTTTATGCACATTTCGTTGAGTTTAAAATAATTATTACACATTGAAATTTTATTTTACATAAATTTATTTGATTATTTCCTAACACAAGATCATGTATTGTACTTTTAATTTTTTATTGTTGCATTAAAAATTGATTCCTTTATTCTTAATATCTGCATTATACTTTTATATATTTAATAAATTAAAAAATTCTTATTCAATCATAGTGGATCATATCTTATCACAATTGCTTATTAAATTGCATAAAACACGTAGCATAAGTTCTCGAAATGCATTTGAACTTTTTACAATTTTTAAACGATACTAAATTTTTATATGACCTGAACAATCAAAATTCTTAATCAAATCAGATTCTTCAATGTAATTTACATTCAAAATACATAAACTGAAGCTAAGCAAATTTGCAAAAATGTGTTTGTATTATGAGGAAGGACGTAAAAGATTCATTATGAACATTCATTATGATTATATTATAATAAAACCCGATTTTTGAAACTGCTAGATAGGATACTCAAAATTATATTTTTCATCAACTCATTACCACAATCATTCTATAACTTTAATTTTGTATATGATATTTAAAATAGGAGTAATGCTACATCTGCAGCTTATCGCTGATTGTATTTTTATGTTATTTACTGTTAAATGGATATAAAAGTATGTGTTGAAAAAATTCAGTAACATGAAAGTCAAATATATCACGATTATAATTAATGTATCGTTCTTTGATTTATTATATTACAAATTGTTTTGAACCATATATTTTCTTTACTATTTAATATAAGGCAGTAAAATTTTCTTAAGCGTTAAAATTAAAGTACTCTTAAAAGCTATTCAGAAGAAAAGTCATCGTTATAATTTTAATAAAAGTATTTAATTTTATTATTCATGTTTTAATTTTTATGTAGTTGTCGGTTAAAAAGTTTTCCATGATTACTTCAAATTTATTGATTTTTAATTTTTATAAAACAAACAAGTTACATATTTTTAACAATTTATTTTTCAACTGTAAGATTAATATTAAGCTTTATCTTTTATTTCTATTTGAAAATATAATCCTTATTTATAATGAAATTTTTAAATTATTATAATTAAAAATATGAAAAATAGAAGCATTTAATGATGTTAGAAATATTTAAGCGATAGCTT